AGACCAAGTGGCAGAAAAGCTGGCAACTATGAATCTTTTCTTGTATGTCTAGAAGAAACAAAACAGGGGAAGGATAAATCTTCAGAAGAACTGGGAACGAGGTAAACAGTTTGCACAGCTGAGCCCAATTCATCTGGTATCTTTAGATGAGAAAGATAGATAGTGCTTCTTGCTCAGTTGAAACAGAAAAGAATGGCAGTTTTTGCTAATAATTGGGAGGAAATGGATAGAAGTTGGACTACTGGGAAAGAGCTGGGGAGAAAAAAGAAAAGATGGAGAGAACAAAAGACCTTTCTTCGGCATCAAAAAACTCTGCTCCAGGGCTAATGGTAGGTTTGGGCACCAGTAAAGGACAAAACCCAGGGTTGCACATCACTGCCTGAAATAATTTTTTATAGACTGAGATATTTAGGATTTATTCAATAAAAACCTACCGAAACCTCTAATAAAAAGCTGTATGTGACTTAAACACAGCAGCTATTGCTAAAAGTCAGGCTGTTTTTAAAATGTGGTAAATAATACAGAGATGGGAATAAGAATAGTCCAGCAGGTTTGGCAGTTTCCTTGCTCTTGGCCCCTGGGTTTGATCTCTGGCACCTGATATGGTCCCCCAAGCCCTGCAAGCAATGATCCCTGAGCACAGAGCCAGGCTTTACTACTATGAAGCCATAATAAGTCCTTAATAAATATTTGTGAAAAGAAGGAAGCATCATGGCCACCTGAAAAAACATGATGTGGTCCAGAACCAAGCTATTAAGAACCCAGCACTATACCAAGATATTTCCATCACTTGTATCACCTGTCATTCTGTTGCTCATCGATTTGCTCGAGCGGGCACTAGTAATGTCTTCATTCACCCCTGTCACATGCTAGTGTAGTTCAATGGCATCTTCTCACTCCAGGAACACCAAGATATTTCCATAGTTCTCACAAAAGCACTCTGGTCTACATGTAATTTGTCACATTTTATAAATAAGAAAACAAGTTCAGGGCTTTGAGCTAGCCCGGGGCACTGGGGATCATACTCTATATGTACAAATCTCTGAGTTCTATCTCAGGCACTGTATGTGCATTGCGTTTCTCCACCCCTGTGTTCCCCTGATGGTCCCCAGCACTGCTGCATCAAACAGTGCTACATTGCTGGTGCCTAACATTGAAGCAGTTGGCCCCCAAATCGCTGGGATCCAGGTCCCAGCATAGTACTTGGGAAGTACCCCCATCATCCCCCAGACCTCAGCTCCCACTATCCGCCCCCTACACACACAGAAAAAAAAAAGTGAAATTCAGAGTGAGTAAAATTATTCATACTAGATCTTCCAGGTAAAGTACTGAAATAGTAGTTCTAATCATACCAAGTTGACTTAGAGTTATGATACTAAAAACAATTATAGAAACTGAAATTGACACTTAAAAGTGCATCAAAAATGTAATTTTCATTTTCTTTTTTTTTACGTTTTGGGTCACACCAGGCAATGCACAGGGGTTAATCCTGGCTCATGCACTCAGGAATGACTCCTAGCGGTGCTCTGGGGACCATATGGGATGCTGACAATCGAACCTGGGTAGGCCATGTGCAAGGCTAATGCCCTGCTCTCTGTACTGTTGCTCTTTAAAAAGAATTGCTCCTGCCTTGTTTATTATTACCAATAGAGTTACTTATGGCTTTATTGTTCTACGTCAACATTTATGACATAAATTACCTAAGTCAGTAAGAGTCTGAACTACTAAAAGAAAAAAATTAATCTATGCCTGAGAAACACATTAAACATCAACTATTAAGCTATTGTCTTTTAGCAGTGGTAAGCTCATCTTTATAAGTGAATGGTTCCCCAAAGGAACTTCCGTGATGAATAAATGGTATGAACATGGAGAAGTAAGTTTACACATGGAGAAGTAAATGTACACATTTCCAATTATGGGGTACAAAAATCCTCCTGGTCTCTGGCTCCACATAAATCTCCATTGGAAGATTATCAGTGACTTTAATGAAATGGGGAGGCACTATTGCAAATGATTATTCTTGTCCTGCTTTCCATATTATTTCACCTTGATAATCTTCAAATCACGTCTTTCTAATTTAGGTGGCAAAACAGTCTGCATTCGTAAAATATATATTGAAAAACATAATATTAATCAATTGTACTAATATTAGTGCTACTTGGCTCATTTTTATTCTATAAAGGAATATTTTTGTAAAATGTTTGATTCATGTTACAGAGAAAGTTTATTTAAAAAGATACAGATTTTTAAAATAATTACTGAAAATATTGCAAATAAGTGAGCTTTTCTTGCTAGAATTTGATCTGAACATAGAAAAGATATAATAAAGATTCTAAAAGAATGTTATAGTTCTAGCTAGGATATTTGGTTTTGACCATGGAACTAGAAAAAGTTGGAATTTATCTTTGGCTTTTTTATTAAGTAGATTTATATCTTCAGCAATGCCACTTCATTTGTTAGTATCTCTCATTTTTTCCTTCAAACATGTATGACACAATATTTTACTATTTTACTTTAGTATTTTGCTATTTTACTTTAGTATTAACACTTAAGAAAATACTCCTAAAAGGATCAAGTCCTCTTCCCAGAATCTGTTCATGGTCCAAAATTTGTTTTCTGGAATTTTTCTTGGGCACATGGTGCCAAATTTTGTTTTCCAGTTTTTCTCATCTGTTAAAGGAAAATGTATTTGTCATCTCTTTTTTATTCATTTATTGGTACTTAAATGTCATACTCCCCAATGAATTTTTGGTTATAAACTATTAAATCTTCTCAAAAACAACTTATCAGTTATTCTTTCACACATCTATCCATGTATTCATACATGTGTTGAAGATACATGGACCTACAGCATGCATAAGACTGTTCCAATTGATGGGCAACCCACTATTTTAACAATGCACCTGAAGGTGAAAGTCACAGTGGAGTGGAGAGTATCACGCTGAGTGAAGTTAGTCAGAAGGAAAGGGAAAGACAGAGAATGAGCTCTCTCATATGGGGGGATATAAAGAAACATTGTAAGGGAGTAACAAATACTGAAAGGCAACAGAAACAGAACTGGTCTTCAATATAATGCTTACCACAGGAGAAGGGGATTGGATTGGAGGGATACTGGAACAACAGTGGAGGGAAGTGGACATTGTGGTAGATGGTGTGGTGCTGGAATGTGTCATGCATGAAACCCCTATGCTAACAGTTCGTAAGCCATGGTCCCTAAAATAAAATAAATAAAACCTCTGTCCAATTTTATGAAATTAAGTTACAGAAAGTAACAGTTCCTTTTGATATGTGTTCCAGACCTTGAGAGTGTATGTGTTCACAAAAGTGTGTGGGCACTTGTTCCTTAGGTTTGGTGGTCAGGTTGCTTCCTCACCCCAGATGGCTAATGCCAATGGATGGAAAAATGAGGAAACGGGTCAGGCTGGTTGGTGATCAATTGCCATTTATTCCAATCTCTAGTCTTACTCTCTGCCCCCCAAACTAGTCTTCCCCTGTAGCACATTCCCTTCATCTCTCCCTTGACAGACCCATCTCACAGTCTTAGTTATCAAGAACAATCACTAAGGGTTGGGGGTAGCAATTACACATAGATGAGATAACGGAATCAACATATGTAAAGTCCTCCCTTCTGGGGAAGCTTTTCCTAAGACAAAGATCTCATCCTGCTAGGAGATCTGTTCAAGGGTGAAATTTCATCTAAGTTCATTTTTCTCCTTCCCTTACTCCACATCCATTTAAACAATCTTCTTAAATTTACTTCTTAATAATCGTTCTAGTCATTTTATATGGACACAGTGAGAGATATATTAAGCTTAAAGGGTGGCTCTCCTGGGGACATCTCACCATATATTCCAGATTTCTGTCCTCAAGCCAGATTAGTCCTTCCTAAACCCTGCAGGGGTTACTTCAGTTATTTATTTTTGGGTCATGACAGTTTGTCCATTACCAAGTTCTTCAAATATTGTAAGTTTTATGGTGCTTGACCTTTCCCTTTTAGATGCCAGGATAACTTACAGCTTGCCCTGCGTCCATTCAAATCCCCTCATCTTTTCTTGTGGGGTGCTAGGAACTAAAGGAAACTGAGGCTTAAATCAAGTAAACATGACAGATTCCCAGGAGTAAATATTTTTCAGAATTAATTAACTCTCAAGTAACAAGAGCATAATAGCAACTGTCTTCCTGTGTCTATACAGAAAGGACCCTGCTCTAAAGTAAACTGCAAAGGACATAAAGGAAAAAGAAAAGCAATATTACACGTACAAATACAAAATTCAGAATCCTCTGAGGAATCTGACTTTAAAAGTCACAGTGTCTGATTAGGGAAATGAGCAATTAATAGATAGATAGGCTAGCAGAGCACAAAGGAGAATTTAAAGATGAAAGGGAATGCTTCAGGAGCATTGTGATATGTGTTACTCAGTAAACATAAGCTCCTTGTGGCAGAGGAAAAAGAACCAGACTAACATTATCTAACATTATCTAGCAGGAGAGTTTGCTATCAAGCCAAGATTCAGACTTTTGGTTGCTTTTTGTTTGTTTTTGTTTTTTAATGCCTCTTTGAGTCCAACCAATATGGCTACACTTTAGAGACCCCAACTGATGCTGAAAAATTTCATTAAATTTGAATGAAAACTTAAAAGAGCAAGTTTTCACTTTTCTCGTCATGCATCTGAGAGAACCTGTATGACTATATCAGAATTAACTACAATTTCACGAATTTTTCAGTTGGAAGAAGAAAAATACATTGCATCAGAAAAATCTTTTCATACTCTGTACCCCAAAGCAGATGGCAAATGATAAAGCTGAGACTGGGAGTATGTTTATGTTAGTAAAATGATCACATTCTTAAATTGAGAAATAGTAGTAAAAAAGAACCCCATAGATGTCTACAAAGTTATCCAATTGGATAATATTTCATAAAATTGTCATTTTCTGTATGTTATCCAGGGACTTGTCCTCTATTCAAGTAAGTATCATAGGCTGTTTAAAAACTGTCTTACCTCTTCGATGTGAATCCACATAGTAGGAAACATTGAAGATCAATGATATCACCAGAGCTAAACCCAAGAAGGCTAGAATTGCCCAAACATAAAACTGGCATTCATGGTTTCCTAGAAATAAAAGCAAAAATAAAAAGCAATACTGTTGTTATTTACTTTTTTTGAACTAGGTATTCTCACAATTAAAACTATTTGAATTTTAATTTAACCATAGTGTCAGGGATACAGCTAAAATGGTAAAGCATTTGTCTAGCATGTGAGAGCCACTGGTACCTAGTACCTCTGGATGTAGCCCTCGATGTGCCCAGGAATTGCCAGGGCTAGAGAGATAATTCTAATAGAGAAAGAGAGAGAGAAAGAGAGAGAGAGAACGAGAGAGAGAGAAGGCAACAGAATCATTATGTATACTCATAGTAAGGGACACATTCTCTGCCAAGAAATTAATATTAATAGCTAAAGACTTCTTATAAATTTCATAATGGGTATTGGAATAAATTTTTACATTAAGCATGGAAAAATCATCAAGTTTCCTTTATTTTTAGTGCTTATGAAATAGATAACAATTTTAACCTGGCTAATAAAATTTTAAAACCAATGACAGATTCTAGAATTTTTAGTTCAAAATCATGAACATCGGACCAGAGATATGTATAGGATGTGACCCTAGTTTAAATCCTCCGTACCATATATGTTCTCTGAGCACTGTTAGGAGTAATACCAAGCACAGAGCAAGTAGAGGGACCCACACACACTCTGAAAAACTAATATCCAAATTGCCCTGAAATCATGAACAGATGTTTTTGTCATTACTTTAATCCTTAGACTAATATATATCATCCGATTGTGATCAGACTATTTTGTTTAATTTACTATCTATTAATTTCTCTATTAATTTCTATATATGATGCAATATATTTGAATCAATAATTTAAGAGTCATCTAATCCAGTTTTTTCAAGACTGGCCACGGGAAGCTTTTATTTCACACCATTTAGAGTACCATGAAAAGATAGTAGAGGGTTGACACATTTCTCATTTATTCTCGGAAGGCCTCATTTTTAAATTTCCTTTTAGTTTGTTTTTGCTTTGCGGAGGTTTGGGGACCACATTCTGCAGTGTTCAAGGGACCATATGGGATGCCAGGGTTGGGATCAAACCTAGGTCTGCCATATGCAATGCAAGATCTTTACCACCTGTACTATCTCTATGGCCCATTTTTTAATTCTGAGCCAAAAAATGGGGTTTAGTGTGACATTGTGTGGCAGTTGTCCTTGTCAATGTTTATTAAATAATTATGCTCATGTGTTAAAAAAAAAGACATAAAATACTGCAACAAAAACTCAGTCATGAAGACCTGGAATGATGGTACAAAAAAGACTGAGAAGGTGTTAAGAACTAAAAATTATTCTAAATACATAAAATATCTCTTCAAAAGATGAGAAAGAAAGCAGATAATAAAAGGAAAAGATACAAAGTGAAATAAACAATTGTATAAATAATTAAATTGAGGTAATGATCTCTGATAAATTATACAGGCAAAATGCCTAGGAATTATATATGCACTGCATTAAAATAATTCATAGAATTATGATTCTGAATTTAAATTTTTATAAATATATTTATGCATATTGTATAGTCTACATAGAATAAATATATAGAGATATGTATGTATACATATATGTGCATATATGTAATTAGGTAGGAGTCATCAATGCCCTTGTAAGACTAATTCAAGAAGACTAATTTACGATTTTATAATCTACATTTATGTATTGAACTGGTAAAAACTGGACCTCAATTCTCTGTAGGAACTATGATCTATTATCGGTAATGAATTCAGTATATTTGCACTCGAGAAATTGCTTTTAGCTGAAGACAATGGTGTGTAAATAGATCATTATAAATGTAAAGTGGAAACAGCTACTATGAAGATTGTATTTCTTCAAAGTCCCAATTTTCTCACTATGTGATTGCCCCAGATTAGAGAACATTTTAGGTCCTTCAAAGAAATCCAAATAGACCCAATTAACAGAGCAGGCAAACACTTAACAGAAGAGAAATTGGTTTTTCTTAATTTGTGTTCAAGTCATCAAATGAGGAATCCATAAGCCAAAATGTTCTTTGTGCTGCTCTATTTGACTAACTTTTGTTGTTGTTGTTGTTGTTGTTGTTGGTACATGCTCAGGAGGCCCGACCAGCAATTCTCAGCTGAACAGGTTGTTGTTTTCACTTAAGAATGGAAGACATAATGCTGCTCGGACCCTGTTGTATCAGGAAGACCCAGGCAACACCCAGCAGCGCTCAGAGTTGCATCCAGGGCCCCAGGGCTTCACCCAGTGATGCTGGGGGAGGGAGTGAAGTGGGGGAGAAATCATGTGGTGCTAAGAATACAACCCATGTCTCTAACCTCTTTGATGCCTCTCAGTCTCTTTACTAACTTTGCACATCTCAAATTTTGTTTGCATTTTCTCTTTTTGTGAGTTCACAAAGTGTGGGGGTGTGCTACTCCTGCATTTGGTAGTTGAGAGCCAGGGCTCCATCCGCCCCAGACCTCTACAGCAGAGGAACAAAGAGATAGGGGACCACAGACTCATGGTAAAAATGGCCTGTTTAATGCAGAGCTGCTAGTATAGAACATCTGAAGGGGGCTGAAGTATAGGACACACATAGGTATGGTTGACCATTTACAGAACATTACAAAACATTTCAGCAGAGGCAATTCTCTTCGGGAGATTAACTTAAGGAGACACAATCTGTCTCCCAGGGACATCTATATTGCTTTTCTCTTTCCCTTAAGGAGAGCCCGGCAAGCTACCGAGAGTATCTCGCCCTCACGGCAGGGCCTGGCAAGCTCCCCGTGATGTATTCGATATGCCAAACACAGTAACAACAAAGTCTCCAATGGAGACGTTACTGGGCCCGCTCGAGCAAATATATTAAACAATTAAGTTTAATTCTTATTAATACTTACAGTTATTTGGATGAACACAGTAAGAGATCAAGATTCCAAAACTTAGTTCTCTGGGCTCCAAGGGCAAGAAAGTTTTTTACCGTAAATCCCAGACTAAGTCCTCAGGCCAGTTCAGTCTGTCCTTCCCCATGGGGGTCTTGTCTCTTAAGTCATGACAGCTTGCATCAAGAATGTGCTTTTATGCTTTCTAGACTGTCCCATTTCGATGCCAGGGGAGCTTCACCACTTGCCCTGAGTCCATCCTAGTCCCATCGCAGGACCTCCCTTTTGTGGTGTTAGAAACTACTGCAACCAAACATAATTTTATGTTTTCTAGATTGTCCCATTTTGATGCAAAGGTAGCTTCGCCACTTGCCCCAGACCCACCCCAGTTCCATGGCGGAACCTCCCTTTTGGGGTATTAGGAACTACAGCAACCAAATCCTGAGTCAAGAAATTGTGACAAATGCCCTGAAGTAGATATATTTCAGAGTCAATCAACTCCCAACTATTAAGAGCATAGCATTAAGGTCTTTCTGTGTGTATGCAAAAAACATTATAGTAAAATATAAAAGGCCTATAGGGGAAAGAAAAAAAGCAGGTATTTCACTACAAATACACGGTACAGAATTATCAAAAAATTTGGCTTTAAGTAACCAAAATTGACTTGGGAAACTCTGACAATGAAAGGTAAAACACAAAGAAAAGGTTAAAGATAAACTCAGGGGATTAGGATACTCGCAAGAGCACTGTAAGCTTCTCTGGGAGGAGGGAAAGGGACATTCACTGATGAAGCCTAAAACACTTAGGGTGAATATCCAACAGTCTTTGAATACTTGATAATATTGATAGGTTATTGAATGATATCAGTGATGTTTACGTCAGTTATCTCTTCTCTATCTCTCTCTCTTTTCTCTCCTCTTTCTCTCTCTCTCTCTCTCTCTCTCTCTCTCTCTCTCTCTTACTTTTTTCTAGGAAGAAGGTGGTAATCATCCACATCATTACTCCGGAGTTACTCCCAGGGGTACTTTAGGGACCACAGGGTATAATAGTTCAAATTCCCTCAAATTAAAAACATGCACAATAGTCTTTTGAGTTTTCTCCATATCCCTCTTGTCCATTGTCAATTCAGCGTAGTAGGCATAAAAAATATTGACTATGAAAAGTATACATTGATATGTATTTATGATATACATGGTAGTGCAATGTACGTTTTTCTTATTTTTAGAGAATTTTATAAATTCTCTCTGATTTAGGAATCTATAATTCCAATTTATCTTGTTTTCCTAGAGTTTGTTCCTTTTGTATTGTTATATGAGCTTTAAGTAGGACTATTTTCAGTAAAACGCTTTTTTATTTCATGATGCTCTTGATATCTCTCATATCCTTATTGCCAAAAATAAATGGAATTATAATGAAAATATACACAGCAAGTAAAGGAACATGCAAATGCTCAACATCAATTTTTTAAATGTATGCGTGCTTGCACACACTTTCTCAAACACGCATTTTATATTTCTCATTGCCAATTTCTTTTTCTTGTGTAATATGGCTTCTACACTTCTAAATATCTATTCATGCACATGGTGCTTCTGATAACATTAGATGCATAAAGTACTTAAAATCTGTGGTTCAACAAATATAATTTATTGATTGAATTTCTTTCACTTACACTGTTTTTATTAATTAAAATTATTTAAATCTTACATTTACTTACTACATTTTATTTACTCCATTTAAAATACCAAAAGTCTTGAGAAGTTAGTAATATGGTGATAACTGCTGGAAAAATATTATTTAAATTTCAGCTGTCAACTGCCAGAGGCTAATAGTAGTAGGCTTGATTTTAAGACCTATGACTTCCTTAAGGCCAAAATTACTTGGCAGGAACTCTTCAAAATTTACAAGTACATAAAGCACTGAAAATAAATCCAACTAAACAAATGTAATGTCTCTCTGTTAGCAAGTGTGATTGATACAAAAATCTTTACTTAAATAATTAGCCATTGAAAGGACATGAATGTCATTCATAAATGTTTCTTCTTCAGGAAGGTTTGTAGTGATGAAAGGAATGTGATTTTATAGTACATAGAGTATAGTCTTTCTTGAGTATTTCTCTCCTTTAACTTTAAAACTGTCAGAACAGCAACTATCTCTTGTTTGCTTTCCATGAATGTGTATATTTATTTTGGACACTCCAGAGAGTTCAGAGGGTAAGTTCTAATATTACAATTCCCATAGAATCTACTTATAAAGTGAGATTTTTCTTGCTGCGCTTATGGTCTAGTGCATTAGAGTCATAGATAGGAGCACTGGAAGGAATTCTCAAATCCAGACCAAGTAAATAAGATAATGCTTTTAATGGAAAATTTGAAAGCTGCCAGCTTTAAATGAGTATCTATTATGAGCAGACAGATGTCAGGTAAGAATGATAGGAAGAGGGAAAATAAACCTATGGGACATTGAAATGTCTCTAGCAGAAGAGTGGAGGTTGAAGGGAATAAAAGAAGGAACTTAAAACCCAGGTGACTTTTTATAAATCACTGAACCTCACTAAGCTAATTTTAAAACTGGAGTTCGAGGTCCATCTCTGTGATAAAAAGGTACTCTTTCTTGTATATTATGATTCCTCCAAACACTTAGGGAATTTAACGAAGAAAGCATAGACATAGGAGAGAGATGGAGGAGAGCTCTGAGACACTACATTATCCTACAGGTTATTTCTCAATATTAGACTTTTATAATTCAATTTATTGGTGATTGGTAAGATTGAGAAGTCTTGCTGGGGTTAAAATACTGTCAAAATTTGTGCTGTAGATGAACCTCTCTTTTTTATGTAGCTTTCCACTGTAATTCATTTATTATTTTCTAGTAGAAATGCCTTGTAAGAGCATCTGAAAATGCCAGGGATGTGTGTAAATTCAGTATATATTTCTTTGATGTTTTAAGAATGCTTAACAATTGCTTTCCTTTTTAGAGTTTAGGAATTCTGAGAAAATTAAATGGAAAAAATTGTACCTGGAAATGTGTCAACTTACAATATTTATTAGGAAATATCTGGATGTTTATTTATCAGAATTTTAAGAAATAAACTTATTTATTAATAAGAAATTTTCCTTATTATTTTAATTCTTATTTATTAATAATAAATTTTAAATATTATATCTACACTTTCCTAGAATGACTTTTTCTGAAATTCATGGCAAACATTACTTAGAGAAAATGATGAAATATTGTCTTAGACAAATCTTTAAAAAATATCTGATGTAAAGGATGATTAATAAGTTATTCTCTTAATTTGTTCTACCAAGGTTCTGAATGGGGCTGGAGCAATAACACAGGGATAGGGAGTTTGTCTTGCACGCGGCCAACCTTGCTGACCCAGGTTCAAATCCTCTGCCCCTCTCAGAGAGCCCAGCAAGCTACCGAGAGTTCCTTGCCCTCAGGCAAAGCCTGACAAGCTCCCCATGATGTATTCGATATGCCAAACTCAGTAACAACAAGTCTCACAATGGAGACATTACTGGGCCCAGTTGAGCAAATCGATGAACAACAGGAGGACAGTGACAGTGACAGTGACAGATTCTGAATGAAACACTATCATTGTCTCAAAAAGGTGATTTAGAGGGCAGAGTGATAACGTAGTGAGTAGGTCCCTAGATCATCTGTGGCATCCCATCTAGTTCCTGAACCCCACCAGGAGTGATCCCTGAGTGTAGAGTCAGGATTAAACCTTAGGCACTGTTGGGTGTGGCCCCAAAAGCCAAAAAAAAAAAAGGCAAATGTGTAATATGTAAATGGTGAACCATAGTTTAAATTAATTAATACTAACCCAAAGGGGTAGTTGTCATTGTGTGATTCAATGACTGGTGACTGCAGAAGTACAAGTGGAAATTATGATTGGGATACATGGGCTAATTGAAGAGGATAGAAATGAAGAGTTGGATGTTTCTTTTTTATACTTTGCTTAGAAATATTTTCACATTTTTTCACACGCACTTCTTTCTTTACTTCATAGATATAAATGTATTTAGATAGGTTTCTAATAACTTCTGATTCTCTTTAACTTCAGGTTTTTATTTTTCTTTCAAGGTCTACACTTTAACGGCAAATGTTTCATTTTATTTCTTCAGTGGAATTATAGAAACTTTTTAAATGACAATGAAGTACTCCAATGTATTTCTGAACGGAATATATCTGAACTATGAAATGGTTTGGAGGAAATTTTATCTCCTTCCTTATAAATATAAATTAATCCTGGAAATAATTAAATATCAAAGTCACTGCCTATAGGCTTCCCACTCTTCCATCACCTCATCGCTACCAGCTCAGAGGAATTGCGCATAGTATTTCTTTTTTTAACTTTTTTTTTATTCTAGCAAAACTAGAATAATTGTCTTTGTCTTATGATAATCTATATACATGTAGAAGATAGAGAGAAAATCATAGTCAGCTCATGCTCCTTGGGTGATTAATTCAACCAAGTGATTTTAAAATCCAGGAAGCAAAACACTACATTACAGATATTACAGCATATGACATCTCTATAAATGGCTTATGTAAATTAGTAGTAAAGTATTGTAAGCACAACAATTAAGCAAAAAGATAGAATCACACAATTCACAAATGATAGAATTATAAACAGTTTTAATTATCCTTCAAAAAAATTTCAACTTCCTTATACTCAAAGTGACAGAGGATGAGCATGTTGTGCTTATGAAATTAGCAAAGATTTTTAAAGACCCTATCAATAGGTTAAAGGGAACATTTCAAGAATTAGACAGAAATGACATAAACTCTTGGAAAGCAGTGTGACAATAAGGATACTTATATCTTCTAACCTTTTCTCAGCAATTCCAGTTCTAGAACTCTTTCCTAAAATAATTTTAATATTAAAATATAGCTTTTATTATTTAAATATTAAAAAAGCTAGACACATTTTTAACATTAAACAAATTATAATTAACTGAAGAGATGTCATTTGTGCGCTTTTTTAAATGATTAGGCAGAAGTTATCTATAAAAGGGGAAATATAATTAATTTCCATTTTGAAGAGAATATTATAACTTTAATGAAAAGAGCAAAAAGATGGATATTGGATATTATGTACAATGTACATTATTATTTCAGTCATGAAAGGTAAATCATTTAGGATGAAGATAAATAAAAGTTAGAAGAAAATGTATCTTGTGTTTCTGTAAGTGATGAAAATTATGAAATTTTTAAAGATATATTTTACAATTTTCCCAACTATAGACTGTTATTGTATACTCTTACAAAAAAAATACATTTGTTAAAGTAATAAGAGGAAATAAGAGGATAATGGAGCAACAAACCACCAACATCGAACTCAACTAACTGATGTAGAAACAACTCCACAACTCATTTCACAATGGATCAAATTTTTGCTGCTCTTTAAAAAATTTGAATCTCTCAGAATGTTGACTATTGGGGTGACTTCTGGGAAAACAGCTTACCGCCTAAACTCTAAGGACTTATAATGTGACTATTTCTAAAATGTTTTGTAATCAAATTGCAGTAATGAGGATAATGCTTGGTCAACAAAAATTTAAGTACTTTAAGTGAGCTAGTTATTAGTGAACACTTAATAAACAGGAACAGGTAGCTTTATATTATAAAATATTGCCCAATATTTTCTCTGAAGAAAAAATAAGCAACAAACACCCATTAATGTATTTCAAAGATTGTTCTAATTATGAAAAATATTATATAACATTAAACAACTAATTGTGTAAAAAATTTACTTTCTAAACCTTAAATTTCTTTTTCTTAAAGATTTTCAAATTTTGAAGTGAATATTTTAGATGGAAAAAGGAACAAAAAGTTTGAAATGCCACTTACCTGACATACTTCTTTTCTTAGAGAAATCCTCATGTAACCAAGTGTATTGATTAAAAATGCTCCCACAAACTTCTTTTTGTTAAGCAATGCTTCTTTGTTCTGTTAGAAGAAGTATGACAATAAAACTTTTCTTAATCTGTATCTCAGGCTCTATTTTTCTCTCACTCTCTCTCTCTCTTCTGTTTCTTAAAATCTTTTGTGTGTACTTTGTTCAGTTACAAACAGGAAATGTGGTGATAGAGTTTCTGAAACCAGTAAGCCCTTAAATTTGAGGGTACTGTAAAAAAGGAAAATCCCACATGCCTCTGTATCTGGTATTTGAATTTTCATCAGTCATTTTATAATTTTAATGTAAAAAATGAAATCAATATATGAATTAGACTAGGATGAATTTTTTATCCCTGGAGAAAAGTCACGGAGTCCTAAAGTGAATCAAAGTGACTTGGACTTGAATATTTTATAAAATATTCTAAACGGTGAGGAAGCAGGTTACAGTGAGAAGCACCCAGGTGTGCTGAGCTGTTGGCCATGTGGTTTTTGCTTGGTGGGGTGGGGGTTCTATTTTGAAGCATAACAGAGGAAAGGATATTCATGTACATTATACCGGTATGAGATTTCTTGCCAACTCTCACCAATGTGAGATCCTCTGTCCAACCCAGAATCACTTGGCAGGAAGATCCAGGTGTTTATTACTACTCCTCTTTCAATTTTGGAAATTCTTAAATTCTAGTGTGCATAAATACAATATGCAGTACAAGTTTTAGATGCATATTTCTGAGATCTATTTGAATCAGAATATTTGGTGTAGAGCCCAATTTGCTGGACTCATGTGAGTATCCAAGCTTACTTTAATATGAGTACTCTGGATAATATTTCGAGAAATTAATTAATATGGATAATTAATACATGTAAAACATGTAGTATATAAGATACATATAAGAATTATTTTAAAAAATAGCAGCAACATGGATGGAACTAGAAGATATCAGGCAAAGTGAAGTCAATTAGAAGGAATGGGGTAGACACAAAATGATCTCTCTTTTAAATGGAACTTAAAGTTACACAACAAGGTAACAACAAAGCCCTGAGGTAGAACTAATCCACTCAATTGATTAGGTGGGGAGGTGAGGGACAATTGAAAGGGAGGTACATTAGGGCCCTTGGTGAAGGGATGTGGGCACACTGGTGACAGGTGTGGTGTTAGAATTATGTGAATGAGAAACCATTATAAACCACAAAATCTCACTTAAAATATAAACATTTGAAAGGTAAAAATATATATGGCAATGGAAAATATTGAAGAGCTGAATCCAAGATTTCCAATTATGAATCTGACGCCCATCTGTAGGGTGGTCTTGAGGTGTTGGTCTTTGATTCAAGAAGATAGTTGTCAAGTTGGACAGAAGTCCCAGGCTCAAAAGGATCTCAATGGATAAATTTGGCAGGACCTCTGTTCCCTTTTCTTGCCCAAGACAACTTAAAATCCCTGCTTAGCCTTTCCCAGGACACAGAGCCTTGCCAAAGGTTTGTAGAGTCCCCCCAGGAGCTGACCCCAAAAAACTCCTCTTTCTCTATTTTTCCACTTTAGTCATCTCCATCTGGGACAGAATCTACCCACACGCTTTCTTGCATCAAGTCTATGTCTATACTCTCCAAGTGTGTGGATAAAGAAGAGGCAAAGGCAAAGGCAAAGTGGATACCCCTTTTTAACCAATGAGATAGCTGAATGATTATGTAATAGCCTATAAAAGGTCAAGTCCATGATTAGCATCTCTAAAATAGTAAATCTAAGACAGATAAATTTTAACCACTTCAGATTTTCTAACTGTTAAAATGGTTGTGAAAAGCCTGCATTATAATGCTCAATAATTTATCCTTATTATTTAATAGACTTTAATAGACTTATATAAACAGAATATAATGCAAATTTGTCTAAGACCACACAGAAAGTCTGTGAGTGCGCATTAGATAATCCATAGATGTTCTAAATTTTCCAGGAAATGATACATTAGTTTTTCATTAAATATAGATGGCAGACACATAGCAACATTATAAGAATATTAAAAGGCCTATGGATATGTTTGTTATAAAATATATTAGTAAGAACATTCAGAGATTTGATTGATAGCTTCATGAGCCATGTTCAAATAATAAATAAACATGAGATTCTGTGGTATTTTTTAATAAGATGGGTTATCAAAATGAAATTTAGAAGATAGCTAACCTAAGCAGAAATGTTCTGACAAGCTTCAGCAGTTAGAAATGTTGTAGGAAATTTGGGGGAAAGACATGAGGCTTTGATAGGCATCTGTCAAGAAATGAGAATTTTAAGACCAACAAAATTGAGAGTTTGTTGCCAAAAGAAAATGAAAAACATATCAAAATGGCAGGTGCTGCTCAGGGTTTCCATACTCAGAAGGTAGTGTCAGAAATTATAGAAAGAGACCCAGTTTTCAAACCTCTTTTCAGGTCAACAAAAGCTTTCTTGGCAACCAATCATCCTGTTAAATGGCAGAACCATGCCCTAAAAGCAACCACCTTGACTTCATGGCTTCAAGAACCTTTTAGAAAATTTTATTTTGTTTCATTTCTAATAGAAAAATAACAAGGATAATGGTAAGATTGCAATTGGTGGGTTCAGAATAAACAATAAATTACTTTCTGGGCGGATCTTCTGAGGGACAATGCCTCATCTTATTCAAAAATCTAAACAAAGAGGAAATGTGTAATCTTTAAGTTTTGGAACAGAGATAATAAGACAAGCATTCTTTCTAGGAGTTTGCCTTTTATAATTTCTCTGAAGTGGTTTTAAGCCCCAATGTCAGTTTTTCCTTTCATATCTATAGAAGTTGGGATCTTTTGTCAAAACTGCTTACTGTGAGATAATACTTTATAATCTCTTTTCCTAGAGATTTTTACATATCGAACATTTTTTTCTTATGGTTATGTATTATTTTTAAATACACACATATGTGCTATGAATGTTTCTGTTTTTATTCTTTAAGGCTCCAATGGTGAAGGGTAATTATTTGCATATATGAGACACTGTGTTGAATCCAGCATGAGGAGAAAAAAATAGAAAAGTTCTAAATAACAGTTATAACAGGGGCTAAATATATTTGATATGCTTATCTATGATGTGGTCACTATAACCACATCATATTCAATCGATGGTTTTGCCTGACCCATGTTGCTATTGTACCAAAATTCCAAACGGCATCTGATCACTGTCTCCTTCGTGCAAAATTCTACTTCAAGGAGCGGAGAGAAAGAGCTGCAAAGTTTAGGAAGAGAACTGCCAGAACGACCACCAACTGGGAGCTCTTTGGCACTATTGCGGCAATGTGAGAAAATGCTGTCATTGACTACATTGACAAGGAATACGATTGACTGGTTCAGAACCTCCTTGATTGTGCGAGGAATGCTGAGAAAAAAACAGAAAAATACGCCTGTCTTGGAAAACTCTAGAGCTCATTCACTAATGTGGCTTGGCGCGAGCCTCAGGCAACCACAAGCTAACATCCAAGCTCACAAAGCAACGCAGAGAAGTGATAAAGGAGAACCTCAAAGAGAAAAGAGCAGCAGTGCTGGCCAATGTGGCAGAAGCTGAAAAAAGCATTCACAACTACCACCTGTCCTTTGCCAACTCCAAGACCAAGATGACTGCCCTCCGACGTCCTTATGGATCTATTGCATCTTCCAGAAGGGAAATGGAGAAGATTATTCATGACTTCTACTTGGATCTCTTTGATAGTCACATCCACCTACCCACATACCAAATTCTGCAGGATGGATATGTTCTTTCCAAAGTTATCCCTTCCAAAATCTGACACACCATTTCATCAGTAAAGAAGCGAACAGAGCTTGGCCTAGGCAAGGTCAGACCCGAACACCTGAAGAACTTACCATCAGTACTCATCAATACACTGACTCGGCTCTTCACACACTACCAGTCTGAATGCAAGGCTCCATCCCAATGGAAAACCAGCAGGACTGTTCTACTGTACAGGAAGGGAGACATCCATGACATTGGCAACTATGTACCTGTTGTCTGTGGTCTATAAGCTGTTCACTTCAGTCATCCTGAATCTGATTGGCAGAACACTAGATGGAGGACAGCCTTGTGAGCATGTTGTATTTCAAAAGTAATTCAGCATGATCGACCATATCCACATGGTAATCAAGATCAGTGGGGTTTTGTCAGAGTTCAAGATGCCACTCTGTCTAACATTCATTGATTTAAAAAAGGCCTTTGATTCTGTTGAGACTGAAGCGGTCATTGAAGCCCTAGCCAAACAGGGCATTAGGATCCTCCATGAGCTGTATTACAGATTCACTACCAGGATCTCACCATTCTACAAGGAAGTGATCATTGATGTCAAGAGAGGGGTTTGGCAGGGCAATACCATTTCATTGAAACTCTTCAGTGACACCCTCAAGAATGTCATGTGATGACTGGAATGGGACAGAATGGGAGTGAACTACACCACTTCCACTTAGCTGATGACATCGTTCTAATAACACCACAAATTAGCCAAGAGGCAGAAATGTTGACCGACTTCAACTGTGATTGTGGAAAGATCAGACTGCAGCTGAATCTCACAAAGATAATTTTTATGAAAAATGGACTAGTTCCTGATGTTCCATTTGCTCTCAATGGAATGAAGATCTCCGAATGCAGCAGTTATATGTACCTAGGTCAAAAACTCAACATGACGAACGACCTGGCACCTGAGCTGCACAGGAGGAAGAGAGCAGCGTGGAACGCCTTCAAAAATGTTGAAGAAATAGCTAAGAAGATGAAGAACATACTGCTCCGGGTATATCTCTTCGACTCCACCGTTCTCCCTGCACTAACATATGCCTCAGAGACCTGGGCCCTATGAAAACAGGATGAGAACGCTATTCGGATCACCCAAGGAGGAATTGAACAAGTTATGCTTGGAGTATCATGCTTCACTCAAGTGAGAGAAGGATTCTAGAGTTCTGACCTCCATCGATGATCATAATCAGAGACACTGTCTCATTTGCCAAGGTGTCGAAAATCAGATGGGCTGGACATGTAATGTGATTTGAAGACAACCGCTAGACTAGAGCTGT